TATTATTATTATTATTACTATTACTATTACTATTATTATTATTATTATAATAATTATTATAATAATAATAATACTTATTATTATTATTACTATTACTATTATTATTATTATTATTATTTTATTATTATTATTATATTATTATTATTATTATTATTATGTTTATTATTATTATAATTATCATTATTATTAAATATTATTATTATTATTATTATTATTACTATTACTATTACTATTACTATTATTATTTTATTATTTTATTATTATTATTATTATTATTTTATTATTTTATTATTATTACTATTACTATTATTATTATTATTATTATTATTATTTTATTATTATTATTATTATTATTATTATTATTATTATTATTATTATTATTTCTGAAATATGAATTTATATTCCTCTTATAAGGTGGTAAAGAAATATGTGAATGATAGAAAAATATTATTACTTATGGATGTAAAACATAAATTAATTTTTTTTTAATTTTTTTTTTTAAGTATAAAAACCTTAAATTAATCAACTTTTTATCATGTTAACAGCTTAAAGGGTATTTCAGACATTTTGATAAAAAAAAAGTGTTTACCAGCACTTATTTGCCAAACACATCAACAACTTTTTTTTCAACTGCAACACTTTTATCCAAACACATAACTACTTATTTTAAAAATAAGTTACAGCACTTTAAAAAGTTACTTTTTAAAAGTTACTTTTTTTAAGTCAATCCAAACGGGCTCTAAATGTATATTTTTGAATGAATTTGATAGAATAAATGAAAAGAAATGTATGAAAGTGTGTTCAGTAATCTATTAAAAAAGTTATTTAGAATTTTGACGAATTGTATGAAAAGTGATTTAAGTTGATAATGAATTTGATAGAATAAATGAATTGAAATTTGTATGAAAGTGTGTTCAGTAAACTGTAAAAAAAGTTATTTGGAAGTTTGACGAATTATATGACAAGTGTTTTAAGTTGGTATTAAATTTGTAATTTTAGTGTTTATATTAGTTTTGTCATTTTTGTATAAAGTTGTTTGATAGTAATGAAGTATTTGGTACGAGCGAAATGTATATATTTAGAATGAATGATGATTGTTGTATGAAATGTGTTTTAAGTGAGTATGAAATATGTATTAAGTGAGTTTGAAATGTGTATTTAGTGAGTATGAAAAGTGTTTTGTAATGTACTGTCTGAATGATATTTGTATGAAAAAATAAAGACAAGTGGGTATAATTTTGTTGTTATTATAATGATTTTTATATATGAACCTATCCCTTGCGAGAGTCCAAAGAGAACGGTAGGAAGACCGCAACTTGAATGTTGTAAGGGGTTTGCTGAGTGAAATTCAAAAGGTCTAAAATTACCTGCAGTAGATGTCGTCAAGTTGGCCACAACAGGAAGACATGCTCAAAATTATCTTGTGCAAAACTAATGATTGTTTGTTTTGTTGGTTATATTAATGTTTTGTTTTGATATGAAACATAATTGGTTTGAAGTGCATTATAGCTTAGTGTTTAATATACTGTTCATTCCTTATACACTGTTCATTCAGTAATCATACAGAATGCATACTGTTACAAATAAAATTTATTCTAGTTTAAAGATATTGTATATATTAGTGATAATTATAAGAAGGTAATTATGGAGTTCATTTGGTATCTCGAGTATTTAATGTAAGTTATCTGAATATTAATTTGATTTTCAATTGGTGTCATATTATAAATAAAATTATAACAAACTGCATGCTAATTGTATTCATGTTTCATTCCAACTCTAGCTTAAGTTATGGTCATACATATATTAATCAAATTTAATTTAGTTTTCATTCAAATAACATGTGTAGAATAGAAAATAATCAAATGTGAAAACACAATTCATAACATTTGTATATAAAAATCATATCACGATTCATACAATATCCAAGATTTAATATTAAAGTCATAGTCATATACATATAAATTAGATTTCATACACGTTTCATCTAATGAGTGTACAACTTAGAAACACACTGATACTTTAAAATAGTGTATTCGAAATGTACGAAGTCTGTATAATACTGGTTACACTACGTATATAAAAGATTGAAAGTTTCGAAGATCTCACCTGAAAGAGCAGTAACTAGCTCTAGGTCGACCCTGTTGAAAAAATTTATCACCTCCTTTTCTTTCTTCTTTCTTTTGCAGATTATTTACTACCCTAACTATTTACAGACTAATTATAATAGTGTACAAGTGACCCACTATTAATTTTAATGCTATCTTCTATAACCACCAACTAAGTATATTATTAAAACTACCCCACTAATTTCATAATTGTAGTTATGAATAGTCCAAAATATCCATTTAGAATCTATCGGAAATTATTTTTTGAAATAAAAAGCTCTAGTATTCAAAATGACCAAATGAGTCTTTACAATGTGACATTTTTAGAAAAAATCACTAGTTTGACAATTGATATCATTTTCATACCAATTTAATCATTCATACCATATGAAGATTCAAAAGAAAATCAGACAAATGTGAAAACACCATTTATAATATTTGTATATAAAATCATATCACGATTCATACAATACCCAACCCCTTATATTAAAATCATAGTCATATACGTATAAATCAATTTTCATACACGTTTCATCCAATGAGTTTACTACTTAGAAACACAATGATACTTTAAAATAGTGAATCCAATTTGTATGAAGTATGTATAATACCAGTGTTCTGAAATTATAATAGCCAAATATTAATTCATGTGTAGATGGTATCTGAATAGAAGATAACATATGGTATTATATATCATCAAATACTTAAACAGAAAAAAATTATCCAAAAGTTAAACAGAAAAATATGTAATTCTTAAAAAGTAGAAGTTGCAATAAACAATATATTTCAAATTTCTTGTCGGTGGTCTTGGTGTAGGATAATTGGTGGTATCCGGAACATGTTCTTTTGCTATGCGAGGTCCACCAAATTTGCTAGCAACCGTACCAGTAGTGATCGCGCCATCCTCATTCTTCATTTTTCCATAATGCCACAGGATTGTGGCATACCTTTCACGATGATACTTTGCATTGATTTCAACAACTCCTATGTCAAAAATACCATTGCTGATAATTCATATGTTTATACACAATTAAGATACAATAACATTAATGTTAATACATGATTCATACCATTTTATAGTCAAATCCAAAAGTATTTTTTTGCATAATTCATACAAAATACATCACCCAAATTTTATAGTCAAATCCATAAACATTTTTTTCAGATTTGGAACAAATTTCACACAAGCAACTGTTTTGAAAATAATAATAAGAATAATGTGATATAAAAAAATAACTATTTTGAGTAATGTGAAAATAAATTAAATAAAGTATTTACCTTACAACTTTTTTAGGGTTTTTGTATTTTGGTAATTCCGATTCCTTCTTCTTTGTTTTTCTTCTTGTAGATGGTTTGATGTTTGAGCAACTTCAACATTTGTTGATTTTTTTCTTTTTTTCTTTTTTTGTTTGACTAACAAAATCTGAATCGAAATTGGAATTGGAATCAGAATCAGGAGGGCTTTCAACTTTCAACAAGTGTTTTGCCCTTCCTCTTCTTCCCCTTTTGATTTATCGAAACCACACTTTCCTTTGCTTCATTATTTTTATCTTTTTGATTCTTTGATCGAGAGGAACCACCGGTCACCGGATTTTCAACAGTTTTAGGTGGGGTGTTTGGGATAATATATTGAACGATGGAGCATGAACATCATCAATTGAAGTTCCATCAAATCTGGGACTCTTTCGAGGAGTTTCAATGGGTTTCTTAAACATGATGATGAATAATCGTGGAGGAGGGGGGTGGACTATTTTGAAGTTAGACTTGATGAGAAACAATGGTGAAAGTGGGATAGTGGGTTGTGGCGTCTAGGAGTGAATAAGCGTGGGGGAGTGGGGTGGGATTGGCGAATGGGGATGGTAACGGTAAACAAGGAAAGAAAACGTGTATGGAGAAAATCCCTAAAATTGGATAACTGAAAATTTTAGTTCTAAAAAAAGGAAGTGAAATCAAATTAATTACCTATTATTAATTAATAATAAAAACCTTTAAATAGATTAATAATTTATTAAATAAATATAATTTAATTTTTAAATAAAATTAAATTTAATTGATATATCATAACCTGTAAATAATCTGTTATAAGCAAAAAAAATTTAAAAGTAAATTTAAAATTAAACTCGTAATATTTACTCTTAAATGTATATATGAGGTGATTTTTCCTTTACTAGGTGGATGAAAATTATATGTACAAACGCTAGCATTTTTGGACAAATATTTAGTCTAGTCAACGTCTAGATATGTTTCGCTAATTATTAAATGATAGTTGAAATAGAAAATTCATCGTCCTATGAATAATTTAGATATGAAATTTAAATAAAGAGAAATAATTTAGGTGTCTATAATTTGATCCATCTTAACTCAAATCAATATCTTGCCCTTCTCCAATAAGAAAGAGGAACTTTATGATTAATTTTGAGATTGGGGTCTTGGGGATATAATTAACACGACGTTTTATCAGTCAGAGCATTTCTCTATTTCCCACAAAAAGATTAAAAAAAAGAAAAGGGCCCAGGCCACCCCCAACAACACCTAATAAATAAAAATAAAATATTTGAGTTGTATAAAAAAAGAAAAGTGATATCCTTTTAAGGATAGAAAAAAGCAAAGAAAAGAAACACAAGAATCTAGACTATATATTATGTAGACTCGTACAAACACCAAAGCTCGAAATTATCAAATCTAGCTAACAATATAATATGACCGTACAGTTTCTCATTTCTGCGTATATTCCTAATTTCTTTTATAAACTTTAGTACAAACAAAATAAAGTTGATAACTTGGCGTTTGCCATATGTTTTAAATCTCAATTTCAAATTTTTAGTTTAAAATCAATTTATACAAGAATTTTAACTTCAATTTCAAATTTTCTAAAATGTAAAACTTGACCTACCCTACAAGTAATACTAGTATATATTTATTACTAGAATTGATGATTTCTAGTAAATATTTTTTGGCCAGGTGCAAGGACATACTTTGGATCAAACTGCCTCTTTCTGTTGACAAATCTTCCCCATTGTTCCCCAAAGTGCCTTTTCCATTCAACTGTGGAGTTGTAATGAGGAAGATACATTTTAAAATCAAATCCATTCTTGATACAAGTTTGTACAATCTCCTCATTTTGTGCCACCATCTCGTTTATTTCAGACTCTGTTGGATGTGCATGGGTAAACCTTAGCAAAGCCACTAAATAAAACATTTCATTTTTGGGTAACGCCACTGACCATCGATTATCCCACCTAATTTCAAAAACGATAAATTATATTATTGAAACAATAAAATATCTAGTGGCCAAAACTTCAAATGAGAATAGAATAGAAACAAACAAGATAGTTTGGCCCGTAATTGGGAGAGGAAAAAAAGACAGTAATGATATTTAGAGCCCGTTTGGATTGACTTTTAAAGCCAAAATAACATAAATAAATCAAAAATCCATTCAAATAGGTTCTAAGAATAAAAAATTGTATTTATAATGAAACATGACACGTCACCACCGGTCCGCAATGACATGAGGTTGCCATGTGTGAAGCCTAATTTTGTGGTTCCATAACACGTCACTATCTGAGTCCCTTAGGCTTCCACGTGGTTCTTGCAGAGCCAACGAAACTTGTCGTGTCAATTTTTTTGGTGTTTTAAACAAGTTTGATTTTCTTAGCAAAGTTGGTCTTTTAGCAAAAGAAATATGGGTAATTGATGATGGACAATAGATTTAATAATAAACAAATAAGTAAGTAATCCAATTTTAGGGTTAATAAAAAAAAATTGACATTTTTTAAACAATCATTTCAATTTTATATAGGAAACACAAGAACACAAAAATTATAAAAATATACTTACTTGCTACGCAGGAGAGGATAGGTTAATATAGGGCCATTGACACCATTTTTTAAGATATTTTGAAATACAATTCGATTGAATGCATCAATATCTTTCTTGGAAACAAACATGTTAAGCCATGGATGAGGTGTAGCCCATATACCACTACCTCTAGCCGCTTCTTCTACATGGTCAACTCGTGATAAAAAATTCATATAAGTCAAGTCGATCTCAAATCTGAAGTGCTTCAAATATTTCAATTTGCCTAGCAATTTCTCAACCATCTACCAGAGGAAAACAATATTTGTTAGTATCACAGTGCAAGTAAATTAAAAAAATGATATTAAATCCTTCTATTGACATCCTATTAGGAGATTAAGTAGGGGACCGCAGAACGTCATAAAAATCTAATTCTAATTAGCAAATATCAGAAAAAGACAAATAACTAATGGAGGTTTACTGTTTTAACTTCAGGCTTTATGAGTTTTGTCATCAACGATTTGAACAAAGGACACAGTCAAAAAGTAGGGTGTTAATTTCGTAATAAAAACCCAATTGTGTAGGCAATTTCAAACAAGCTGGTTGTACCTATGCTGTCAGAAAATCCATGAAAATATTATACGAAGTTACAAACTATTACTTCGTCCGTCTCGTTTTATACTATTTACTTTTTTTTTTTTTATCAATTTCAATCTATATTTTTATATTCAGTAATAATTTTAATTTGAAATACTTTAATGAAATATTTTTATAATCATATTTATAGGTATAGGACGGAGAAAGTACTAATTAAAGTGGTCGTGCTAGATACAACCAACTGGCCCCACAGCCCACCTTCCGCCGCTTTTCTTCGATTTCCATCATTATTCTTTTGTTTTTGTGTTGTTGAATTGCTAATAATTTAAATACAATAAAATAAAGTGGAATTTGTTCTAGGGAATATAATTGTGGAACGAAGCACCCTTTTCACTGTGTTGTGTTAGATTTATCTTATGTTCTGGGACCCAATTCTTGATTCATCTGTTAGGGCCCCACCCTCCACCTAGGTCAAAACTAATTGTAATTTTATTAGTATCCAATATTATTATTATTATAAAAACTTTTATAATAAAACATTGCCACTTATCCTTTTCTTCCCATCCACAAAGGGGGAAATGCTAAAAGCAAAAGTAAAAAGAGGGTAAAATGAAAAAGTTTGGAAATAGATAGAATTACCATGAAGGGATCGTCATGGTTGTTGTTATAATGCAAGGCCACTTCAAGACAATAGAGAACCGGACCAGTTTTCTTGGGTAAATGGGTCGGGTCAAATGCCTGATTTGAATCTAATAGCACCGATAACCATCCATTTACCGGGTCATCACTGTTCACGAACACAAACCCTTCCACATAATCGAATGATTCTTGACTTGTTATCAGTAACTCAGCATCATGAGTGAACTCGTCAAATTCACTATATACCACTCTTATCCACCTCACCTAATTAATACACAAAAATAAACTCATACACTCCTATAATAATTCAATTCAATTGAAAAGAAAAAAAAAATGATATATACTAACCATATCTGGGGCGGGTTGAAGCAAAACCCGAGCTCTAGTAATGATACCAAACTGACCAAGTCCACCCAGAACGGAGAAGAAGAGTTGAGAATTATGAGAATTTGAACAGACTATTATTTCTCCGTTGCCGGTAACAACTTCCAATTCCGTTACAGTTGACGTTTGGGGACCATAACGGAAAGTTTGCCCACTAACGCCGGCATTAGACAGAGTACCTCCAACTGTTAAATGAAGATAATCCGTCCATGATTTAGGAGCCAAGCCGTATTCCGAAACGCAATGTTTCAATACATCACTCCATAATGCTCCGCCACCTACATCGACGCACATGGAATTGACATTCACATCGATTCTGTTATTATCAGCCATTGATTTCATATCGATTACGAGTCCATGGTGGGCCATAGCTTGGCCGTTAATCGAATGGCCGTTACCCCTCGCCGCTACCGTTAATGTTGGTGACTCTAACGCTCGCCTAATCACCCGCACAACGTCATCGGCTCCGCCTGTACGTATAACGGCTAACGGCTTCTCTGAATATAAGCCGCCGAAATCTCTACTGCCTAAACTTATTGCCGTTACTCCATAATCAATGCTTCCTTCAATATTCAAGTCTTTCAAAACGCCATCTTTTTCAGGGTCAGGTATCGAATCAGTGTCATTCTCTGCTACCAATCGTTCAACTAAACAAGCTAACATCTTCGGGCTCTGATTATTTTTTGGGATGATTAGGGAAATGAGATGATGGAGTTGGATAGGGAGGTATATATATATATATATATATATATATTTATATAGTAGTAGTAGCTAAAAAGAAAGAGCAAGTTTTTTTCTAAATGACCCCACACTAAAATATGTTTTGCTTGTCTCCCACAATCTCCCAAAAATAAAATAAAAAATCATTTTCATATAACGATGATTTCCACAATCAATTAATTATACTAGTAAGTTTTTTTTGGCTAGCTCCAGCTTGAGTGAAAAGGATTTTGAGTAGCACTCATTTGGTACAGTTGTAAAGAGAACTTTTGTGGACCATATATATCTAACTTTTTTCTAATCTCCCAACTATATAATTGAAGAATATTCCATTACTATAGACTGAAAATCAACAAATTTATTGACAAATTAAACTATATATGTCCACAACTAGCTAGCTTTAGTATCCACTAGCTTAGAAAAAACTTGTTTGTTATTATAAACAACAAGTTCATTTTCAATTATTCTCAATCAAGGAAGACAGACAACAATTTAGTGTAAATTTTTTCCCTTCACTAGATTTTGCCTCTTTTGGTGTGGGGTTCAGCCTTCATGAGGAGAGGGTCAAAAGAAATATATAGAGGATTTAGCGTTTTCCAATCATTAAAGGGTATGAATAGATATCACATAAAATATTTAATTGTGAAAGTACCTAATTTACTAAATTTTGTGTATTTGCATTTATCTACACTTAGTTAATTTCACTCAGGATAATGCATGTGTATAGTCATAGTGTGCATACTAATGGTCCTAATACTCTTATTTGTTTAGTGGAGGAAAAGAAGCCAGCTGATTTATATTCTTGAGTCTTGCATGCTTTAAGCAACAAAATTGGATTTTTCCATGTTCTTTAATTTCCCAGATTTATTAGCTTAATTTTAAAAAAAATACGTTTCTCGTTGATGATTCAAATTTACAATCTTAGAATTAGAGGTGGGAGGTGTTATTATCCAAATAACCCTCTATTGTCACTTATATATGCCTTATATTAGTGGTGGCAAAATCAGCTCATAAAATCATAGCTCGTCCAATCCATTTAAGAGCAGGTTAATAAAATCATTTCAATCCAAACCCTTTTTTAGCCGAACCAAGTAACATTTAAGCGGGTCAATAACTCATAACTCAACTCTTTTTAACAATCTCAAAATCAACTAAACCTTCCTATTGACACTCTTACCCTAGGTATATAACTTTTCATCACTTACTTGGATATAAAAAAAGTGATTGCATAAAAAATCGACAAGGAAAGAAGATAGATACGTTTCTAGTCATGTGTGATTTATTCTTGAAGTATCACAAGTTATATTCGGACACTATAACAAATAAAGAATTTAGTGGTAATAATATAATTATCGTTACATTATATTTAACAATAATAATAAATATGAGTATTTATAATGAACCAGCTCTGTAATATAAATATAACTAAATGTTTTAATAATTTTTAATACAATGATATTAACTCAATTATCACTAAATATTTTATATTGTCGCTTTAAAAAAAATACCACTAAGAGTCTCTTTTATTATAATGTTATGTTATCATGATCATGTCAAATTACATATAATTGAGAGAAGGAGGAAAAAGAAGAAGGAATGACCTAAAATACTACTACTTTTGATCATTAGGCAAATTACTTTAATTTTTTTTGTCTATTTTTAAATGCTACAACCAAGTGTAGCTACCATTAGTTTGCTTAATTAAGATCATATCTTTTCTAAGAATATACCATCATTGTAAAATTAGGTAATCAGCTTGAATATGTTGGCACTTTCGTGATATGACTCATGACTAAATATCATTGCTTGTGAGGATAACGATAATGTACATTATTGGAGAATCTTGAACAATAGTCACACAAAAAAGGGGGGAAAGAATAATATCATCAATAAAGTTATTGTAGATTTTTCTTTTCCACTCTTTTTTTCTTTCCCAAAAATCAATTGATCACTTTGAAAATCAGGAAGCTCAAAATTAAAAGAGGTAAAGATCAAAAACACATTTAAATTATTCTATTTTTTTAAGCTTAATACTTTAATTATTGAAAACGTAAGTTTCTACTTGAACTATCAGTCAATAGTTAGCGAAACACACCTCGATTAATTTATGATGATGTGTACATACTCTCTCTTTTGTTTAAAATTATGTCAAGTGAAAAACTAATTCTACCGTGGCAAAATCTAAATAAATATATTAATGTTGGATTAAAAGCTAAGGTTTAAGGTTAAAACTATCACCATATAAATTAACTTATTCCAACTGTGACATTCATCATCCTCTTCTCCACCTTCTTAGGTATGGTCTCGTCTTTGTCTGTCGTGACATTGATATTTCCTACTTGAAAGGGACAGTTTATGATTTAAAAAAAGTCAAATAAAAATACATTAAAAGAAATCAATGTATCAACAAATAGAGTCGTTATTTATATCAGGTAGACAAAAAATTTATCTACAAATGCACGTATGTTTAGACAAACATTTGGTCTAGCTAGTCAACATTTAGATGTGATTTGCTAACCATTGACTGATAGTTCAGGTAGAAAACTCACACTCTCAATAATTTAGATACAAATCTCTCTCTCTCTCTCTCTCTCTATATATATATATATATAAAGGAGGACAATAGACAAGGTGATGTGGCACCTCTCTATGGCCTCCATTTGCATTTAGCTTTTTTCTTCTTTTTTTGGCTTTTTTTAAATAAAAAAAATTATTATATTATAAAAATAAATTACTTAAATTTATTACAAATAAATATTTTATTGATGGAGGAACATTTATAACAAAAACTCTTCATATTCTTTTTTTATTTATCTGTCTCACTTATAATAAAAGGAGAAACATAATTTATCTTTTTTTGACTTTTTTTTTAATTCATATTAGTTATTGTATTGTAAAAATATATTACTTAATTTATACAAAATGAATATTTTATAAATGTAGGAACATTTAAAACAAAAAACTCTCCACATTCTTTTTTCTATTTTTTTTATCTCACTTCAAATCATGAAATGATAATAAATTTTTTTACATTTTAAGTATTTTATCTTTATTTTTTAATTTTTAATTTATTCACAAGGAGTTATTACCCATGATTTTCTCCTCTTTAATTTTTACTTTTAATAATATTCATAACTCTCATAATTTTTATGTCCATAACCTCCGAACTTAAATTTGTAAGTTTATGATGTCTTATGGTATTCCTTTATTTTGCCTATAAATTCATATTAGTTTCATGAAGATTCACATACATATAACAAAAAAAAAAGTACATGAAGTTAATAAATATATCATTCTCAAGTCCTTATTTTTTCATTTCCTCTATTTTGTCTATATATTCATATTTATTTTCATGAAGATTCACATACAAAGTCATTCCCAAGTCTTTCTTTTTATTTTTATGTACTTAGACATGCTTTCTTAATAATTTTTAATGTTTGTATTATCATTCATCAAGCAAGTATGATTAAAAAAAATCTCTGTAATTCTTAACAATGTTTTGTCTGTATGCAATTGCTCTTTCTAATAGTTAGTTTTCCGGATATAATATAGTTTGATTATAATATTTGTTAGATTTCAAGAAATAATTATTATTTAGTATTGTTAGTACTATCGAAAAGATAATATACAAATATATTACATATAGTTTAAATTTCATTCTTTCTTTTGACATAAATATTTTTAATTGGTATATGATACTTTTTTTTATTTAGTTGGTTGCATATAATGAAGAGTTTGACATATGGATCAAAACATGATGGTGGATCTACTTGCAAAGGAAGATAATAGAAGGAAAAAAAATGAAGCATAATTAGAGATTATTTTTTTACTTTGAATTGTATTAGCAACTTAGTTACTTTTGCTAGAATTTTCTAAATTTTGATTTGTATAAATAATTTAGCTAAATGTATTATATTGTCAATGCTAATCATTTGATCCTTTATTATTCTACTTTTTCTTTGTTATGAAGCAAAATTAATATAATTATCTCATTTTAACAACAACAAAAAAAATTATGATGATTAGGAGTTTCATTTTTATTATAATTATAAAAAAGTAATTGAAAAATAAAATATTATTTTCATGATGCCATTTTTTGCGTATGTAACAATCTATTTTCGTCACCGTTCTTTTTGCTTTGAAATGTATTTATAATTTTTATGTAATCACCAATTTTTATGTTTTCTCTGTTCATTTTTTGTATTTTCACCCCTTATTTTTATTTATTTACAAATAAAATCAATGCATAATTAGTAATACATTTAATGTCTAATAAAATTATACATTGGAATTATCTATAACTCATGTCTCTTCATCTTACATGTAACTTTTATTATTAAATATTATTCATAACTTTTGTATGTTTCATTTTTCATAAATCTTATAAATATTTAATTAATGTTTAAAAAATTATAAATAAGCAAATATAATAATAAGGACATAATAAAAATATCAATTTTGTTTTGATGAAATCAGAGTTTGAATAGAAAATTAGTACTTCTACAAAAGATAGAGAAAATTAAAACATATAAAATATTTTCAACGTAATACAATATATTGTTATTTCAACATATTATCTCTTATTCCATTTACTTCACTACAGTGAATGTTTTGTTCTACAATATACATATACAAAAAAATTATATTTTATATGTTTAAAAAAAAACAAAAAAAAACCTATGATATTGTAGATGAAGAGAAATATTAATATTATCTATATATTCGATACTAACCTAAATATTACATATTTCATATTATTATCTTATAAATATTTCATATAGCCGCGCGAAGCGCGAATAGTTTCACTAGTTTTAAATAAAGTGAAATAATTTAGCTGTCTATAATTTGATCCATTTTAACTCAAATCAATATCTTGCCCCTCTCCAATAAGAAGAGGAACTTTATGATTAATTTTGAGGTTGGGGTCTTGGGGATATAATTAGC